GCTCACTGCAACCTTCACCTCCTGGGTTCAAGCAATTCTCTTGCCTCAGCCTTCCAAGTAGCAGGGATTACAGGTGCAAGCCACCATGACTAGCTAATTTTTGTATTTTTAGTAAAGATAGGGTTTCATCATATTAGTCAGGCTGGTCTCGAACTCCTGACCTCAGGTGATCTGCCCGTCTCAGCTTCCTAAAGTGTTGGGATTATAGGCGTGAGCCACAGTGCCCAGCCTAATTTTTGTATTTTTAGTAGAGACGGGGTTTCACTGTGTTGGCCAGGCTGGTCTTGAACTCCTGATCTTGTGATCCGCCCGACTTGGCCTGAATATATATTTATTTATTTAATTTTTAGGATGATGTCTCTGGCAGCCAGTGGAAGAAGAGGATAGAGTAAGGAGAGAATTATCAGGTGATTAAGGCAGAGGCCCAAGGGACAGAAACTGCAGCATTTAGCCAAGAGGAATTTGGCGGGACATGGAGAAAGGCCAGTGTCTGGGTTGAAGAGAATTTTTGCAGGTCAAACCGATAGTCTCAGAGGTAGATTTTATGTGTTACTGGTGGGGAGGCCAATGAGGGAAACAGAGGCCAGCTCCTGAGAAGTCAGGGCAGGGTTTTAATGAATGGAACAAAGCTATGGGACATAAAGCCCCAAAACCTGGTATATTTCTGAATATCTCTGTGATCTTGAAAATGTCATATTATGTTTGCTTTAGTTTTCTATCAGCGGATAATATGGCCTCTCCTATCTGCTACTCATGATTGTGAGAAAGAAACGAGGCAGGGAGTGTATAAGGTGTGTAAGTGCTTTGTAAGCAGTAAATCACTAAACAAGTCCTAGACCCTATGTTATCAGGGAGGAAGTTAATGGCATGGGATAGCGCAGTTACAAGAGAATATAGGTGGAGATGAGGGATATCTGTCCTGTGGTGTAGATAAACAGTCTAATCAATACACACACACTCTACAGATTAAATACAGCAATTTCCACATTGGGCTGTGTCTACCAGAGGGCAATAGGAGGTTCTCAATTCCCAGCACCAGTGACCCTATGAATTGCCCTGTAGGTGCCTCTGTCCCTCGTTGGATATGAGGTGGTATGAATGGTCTGAATCTGTAGACGTTAGACGGGTTTCAGGTATCTGGAGAACCATGTGAGTGAAAGCTTGTGCTGTTTCTGGGGCTAGAATCTAGTCTCCTTCAAACACTCAGAAGGATCTGTGACTCCCTTCAAAGGTTAAGAGTCATTGATTTTTCTCACTACAAATTAATAAGAATAGCTATCCTTGGGGAGAAGGAATGATGGGGGTAGGGAAAGATTTTCATTTAAAATTTTTTACCTTTCTGAACGGTCTGCATTTTCTAAACAGGAACATGTATTAGTTTCATTGAAAAAAAAATGTCAGGGGTTATCTGAGCAGTGAGATAATGGGTCCTTTATAGATTTTTGTCTTTATACCGGTTCGTATTAAACAAACACAAATATTAATAACATATTTTTAAAGACCCTAAAAAAATAAAAATTAAAAACCCTGATAGTATCAGCACATACACAGAAATCACTCCATTATGCAAAGTTCATCCTCTATTATGAAAGGCAAAATGTCTACATTTCCTATGAACCACTGGCTTCAATTCAGCAAAAGTTGCATACCAAGTAGGCAAGGTGGAAACGAAAAAGGCGGAACATTTCATGTATTTCAATTCAGACGCATAAAAATGTCAAGCCCTACACGTATCAACTTTTGTATACACCGTCTTCTGCATTCGCCTGTACCGGCCAATGGGCTAGCTGGTCGGAGTTTGATGCTTGAAGTGATGGAACGGAGGACGGGGTTAAATCTACTATTTCTCCCCACGCACTCTAGTATTTACTCTATTTCCACGTCATGTTTCCGGGTGTGTGTGTCCCTGCTCACGCAGAAACTGAAGTTCAAAGCAGGCGGAGTCACTCATGTTCTTTTTGTTGTCCCCAGAACCCAATTCAGGTGTTGGGTCCCCAGAGGATCTGGAGATACCTGGGGACTGTCTAACTGGCTGATTCCCACGTGGTAAGAGGCTCTCAATCTCGCCACCACGTGGTGCCAAGGGCCGGGAAAAGGGAGAGCGGACAGGAGGGAGCTGTATCAGGGGCATTTAAAGTGCCTTGACGTCACGCACTGCCAGGAACTCAGCTGAGTTTTCAGCAGGACATTCCGGTCATCTTCCCTCCCTCCCCCCGGGCTTCTGTGCCCAAGTCCTCGGCTCTTCCCTCGCTGTGGCGGAGGGAGGAGCACCGAACTGTCGGAACAGCCAGCACAGGGGCGTATCAGTCTTCTCTTGGCTCCGCCCTTTCTCCTAGCTGCTCTCTTCATTGGTCAGTGGGCGGGGCTTTGTCGGTACCGCACACGCACTGGGACCTCTGGGTGGCCGAGCGAAATGGCCGTTCATGAATTATGCATGACGGCGTGCCTCGGCCAGGCTGGGGCTGGGCGGGGATTGGCTGAAGGGGCTGTAATTCAGCGGTTTCCGGAGCTGCGGCGGCGTAGACCGGGAGGGGGAGCCGGGGGTTCCGACGTAGCAGCCGAGGGAACAAGCCCCAACCGGATCCTGGACAGGCACCCCGGCTCGGCGCTGTCTCTCCCCCTCGGCTCGGATAAGCCCTCCGGCCTGAGGGAGCCCCGTCGCCCGCCCCCGGCGCACGCGCAGCCCCGGCCTCTCGGCCTCTGCTGGAGAAACAGGTGAAGGGGGTGCAGGGTGGGGCCGTCGGGGAGGCCTGGGGACCTGGGGGCGCCGCCGCGGTTGGGGGCCTCTGGGACCTTGGGGATTTTGTGATGGACGCTGCAGTGGGGCGGGGAGAGATGAGGAGACGCGGAGGGTCGCCCTGAGGGAAGACTCTTCGGGATGACAGGAGCGGGCCTCGGAAGGGACTCGGGGCGCTGGAGGGAAGTTTCGTTCTTCGGAGAAACAGTGAGAACGCGCCCGAGGGGGCACCGTGGGGCGAGGGCGCACTCGGCTGCGGCGGCAGGAGTGAGGGACAGTCCCCCGATTTCCTGCTCCCTGGGGCCCTGGGGACGTTCCGGCCGCCGGAGCGACTGTCACGCCGGCGGGGATCACCGGCACGGGTGGGGGTCGGAAAGCGCCTCCTCCCCGCCTGGCCGGCGGCTCCCTCTGAGCCACTTCCTCCGCTTGCCCTGTTCCCGCTCCTTCAGGAGCCAGCTGTGCCCTTCTGGAGGCAGGAATAGGTGTGTCTGTCCCCTGCAGCCTCACGGGCTGGCTGGTCGCGGGTAGGCTTTATTGCATAAGAATCAAGTTTCCTGTAGGGAAATTGACAGACCGGTACTCTTTCTAAATTCCCTCCCATCTTTTTCTAGGTTAAACTATGCTCCCCTCACGCCCCCGCCATGTAAAAAAGAGGGGAAAAAAAGACAAAATCCCCGTCAACCCGTCAAGGCAGCTCTAGAGAGAGAAATAAATCTCTTGGCAATGTTCTTTTCCAAATACCTGGTAAAGTCGGCCAGAAGATAAATAATTGAGCCATTGCGTTTACTGGATTGTGGTGTTGCTTAATTGCATAGGACGGAATGAACCAATCGAGAGTGGGAGTTCTCTGTCTCAGAGCCAAGATCTTGGGTAAATGCAGAGGAGAGGGAAACAAAGACAGGCTGGCCTTGACAAAACCATGTGTGCTAAGTTTACCTGCATTTAGGGGGGTGTGGTTGCACTGAAGTTAACAAGATTCAAACCGTCGCCCAAGTTGGTATTTCCATGTTTGATACACATCACTCTGTGCCATATCAGGTCGTTGTAAGTGTGGTGACAAAATCAGTGGTTAGTCATTGTTTTTTGTTAAAAATGTGTATAGTGTGTACCTGCTGGTCTTACTGTATGTGCAACTAAAGGTTTACGTAGTCTGTGCATGGGTTGTAAATTTTTGGCTGGCTGTGCTGATAAAGCATTGGGCTTGAATAAAGCAAAGCAGAAAATCATCTCAATCTTTTATATGTGGATTTAGACTGTGTTATGACTTGATTCAGCCAGTTTTCTATTTTATTTTATATTAAATATGTCTGTGTTCTCTGAGTCAGCACATTTATTTCCTTATTACATGTTCCAGACGGGAGTGCTAGCCCAGTTTTTGTTCAGTTTGCACAGTGGGATGGGGAAACAAGTCTGGAATTAAAAAAAAAAATGTTTTAGAGGTTGGAGCCTTGATTTTAGTCTCTGTATTAGCACATCCATCACAAAGAACCATTAGTAAATTCATGAATCTTTTGTTTTTTTATGTAGTTCATTTGGGAAGAATAATCACTTAAAAATATCCACAGTGCCAGGCATGGTGGTGCACACCTCTGATCCCAGTTACTTGAAAGCTGAGGCGGGAGGATTCCTTGAGTCCAGGAGTTGAGTCTGGTCTGGGCAACATGGTGAGAGGCCAGGAATTGGGTCTAGAGTCTAGTCTAGGCAACATAATGAGAACCCGTCTCTAAGAAAGAAAGGAAAGGAAAGGAGGAAGAAAGGAAAGAAAAAGAAATACCCACAGCACAGTTATGAATTGACCCACAAAGGACTTGTGAGGTAGGTAGTTCACATAACAATTACTCTAATATTGTAGATAAGAAAATTGAGGCCAAAGGATCAAGACACTTGCCCAAGGCGGCAGAGTGCCATAGTGGTGGAATTTGTGCCGCCTTCTGTATATTTTGTGAAAAGTATCAGTGAAATTCTTTTTTTTTTTTTTTT